CCAGCCAACCACTCCTTAGTCATGCACTTACTTCGGCTAAGGAGTACAAAGTGTTGGTTTATTCCAGCCAACCACTCCTTAGTCATGCACTTACTTCGGCTAAGGAGTACAAAGTGTTGGTTTATTCCAGCCAACCACTCCTTAGTCATGCACTTACTTCGGCTAAGGAGTACAAAGTGTTGGTTTATTCCAGCCAACCACTCCTTAGTCATGCACTTACTTCGGCTAAGGAGTACAAAGTGTTGGTTTATTCCAGCCAACCACTCCTTAGTCATGCACTTACTTCGGCTAAGGAGTACAAAGTGTTGGTTTATTCCAGCCAACCACTCCTCAGCCATGCACTTACTTCGGCTAAGGAGTACAAAGTGTTGGTTTATTCCAGCCAACCACTCCTCAGCCATGCACTTACTTCGGCTAAGGAGTACAAAGTGTTGGTTTATTCCAGCCAACCACTCCTCAGCCATGCACTTACTTCGGCTAAGGAGTACAAAGTGTTGGTTTATTCCAGCCAACCACTCCTCAGCCATGCACTTACTTCGGCTAAGGAGTACAAAGTGTTGGTTTATTCCAGCCAACCACTCCTTAGTCATGCACTTACTTCGGCTAAGGAGTACAAAGTGTTGGTTTATTCCAGCCAACCACTCCTTAGTCATGCACTTACTTCGGCTAAGGAGTACAAAGTGTTGGTTTATTCCAGCCAACCACTCCTTAGTCATGCACTTACTTCGGCTAAGGAGTACAAAGTGTTGGTTTATTCCAGCCAACCACTCCTTAGTCATGCACTTACTTCGGCTAAGGAGTACAAAGTGTTGGTTTGGTCTCCCCATATTACCCTCACTTTGTCACGTGTCGAATTGTCACTGGCTTAGTACAAAATGTATAGCCAACAGAATATAATGACAATTAACATTATAATGCATGAGAATTACCAAAACATAATGACAGTCAATATAGAACCATTGTTTATTTTTTGTGTGTGTAATGAATATCAGCATTAAATATAAGGGTATAAGAGTCTAATAAAATAGTGTAAATCAAGAAAAAAAACCTTATGGAGTAAAAATATAAATACATAAAACTAAATTTCCTTCATGGACTTCTTGAATTAGAACACTCCTAAATAAAATTTATCAATAAAAATTCCAATTAAGTAGTTTAATATATTATTATGAAAAGTATTTTATTTTATTTTTCTGTTTTCTTTTAATTTTGGAGGGGAATTAAAGTACTTCAGATGTTTGTAATCTCTCCTCCCTTAAAAGTTATAACCCGTCCATGCATTTCCCTTTTCTTCATTTAATCTAAACATGATTTTAACTAATTTTATTCCTCTAAATCCTTTTCTCCTAAACCATCACAAAAAGGGAGAAAGCAAACACATGATGGCCCACTTTATCCAATTTCTTAGATTATTTTAAGATTGGATCTTCCATCCAAAATCTTTCATATTTTTGGCCCTAAATTACATCTTTCATATCTTTGGGTGCTAATTCACATCTCTATACTACAATTCGTCCGTTTGACTTGAATAGTGTGCCAGAAAAAAAAAAAATAGGGCAAATTACATAGAGTTCTTGTAGTTTATTTTTTTATTAATTTAATTTTTATAATTTTAATTGGACTAAATTCATACAATATTAAAAAAATTAAAAGACAAAGTTATCATAATTAAAATTATAGAGATTAAACTGACCCAAGAAATAAATAACAAGAACTTCAGATATAATTTGTTTTTTTAAAGTGAAGAGAAGGGATCCTATGTTCTTGACATACATCCATAATCTTTTTTTTGTTTTTTGTTTTTTTTTTTTGTTTGAGTGGACAACAAGGGAGGGTGTTGTCCTAAAAACCTATGAGCTCAATAACTTAGCTATATATAAAAGTTTTATATTTTTTTATTTTTTACATCAAATTCATTTATATTCAATTTGTAAATAGATTCAATGCACTTAAAGTGGCTTTAATATAAAAAAAACAAAGTATATATATATATATCTATATAACAATGGAAGGGTTCATTTGAAAATGTCTCTCAAATTAATGGTTCAGATCTATCTAATTTGGAAAGCAATGGCTCAGATTTATTTGTAAAAATATCTCTCTCACAAACTATCTTTAATGGTTTAGATTTGTTCAATTTAAAAACAATGGCTGAGATTGAAAAGAGTTTCAATGATCTAGATTCATCAATGACTAAAATTCAATGGCTTAGATTTGTTTACCTATCAGCTCTCACCAACCCACTACACTTACCAGGTAAGGCACTCTTTGCATCATATGTATCAATCGAAAGCTCTGAAGAAAGCTCTCTTCTCCACAAAGCTTTGAAGAAGGAAGAACATAGCTCAATCGAAAGCTCTCTTCTCCACCATCACTAGGTAAGGCACTCTTCTCTCCTCTGTTTTTTTTTTTTTTTTTTTTTTTTCCTCTGCTAAACAATGGCTCAAATTTTTTTTACCTTCAGTTTGTTTTTTTCTGAAGCAAAAAAAAAAAAAAAAATTCTGAAGCAAAAAATTTACTTACTTTGTCTCTGCAAAACATTCTGAGGGTTGAGATTATATTTATCAAAATTCTGAAGCAAAAAATTCTGATTTGTTTGTTTTGGCTTTTTCCCTCCAAAATGTGTCTCTTCACTTTGTCTCTCTTTCCCAAAGTTCTGAAGCAAAAACTCTCTTCTGATTTGTTTGTTTTAGATTCAACTCTCCATTTTTCTCACTGGTTTTAGCAATCTCCAGCAAACGCTCTCTCTCTCTTCTTAGCAATCTCCATTTTTCTTCTCTGCTCTTTCACTCTTCTAACCTATGAAATGGGTTTCTATTTCTGTAAATATTGATGGATTTTGATGGATTTTGATTTCATTGATGGGTTCTTAGAAATGGATTTTGATTTTGATTTTGATTTCATTGATGGATTTTCTATTTCAAACTGTTCATTCGGACTGCTCCAGCAATTTTTCTTCTCTGCTCTTTCAATCTCCAGAATTTTATATGAGTTTCTATTTCGGTTCCATTTTTCCATGTTTTGATTATATATGATGGGTTGAAAATTTTGTATGATAAGTTTATATATTTCTATTTCATTGATGGGCTTTATCAACTAACCTATGATTATGATGGGTTTTCTATTTTGATTTTTGGTTTTGATTTCTATAAAATTGTATTTTGGTTTTGTATTTTGAAATGGGTTTATATTTTAGTTTCGATTTTAGGTTCATATTGGTGGGTTTCAGAAAAGTATTGAATAAGATTTTTATGAGTAAATGGGTGCTGATCACATGGGTTTCTATTTTGGGATTGAAACATTAACATTAGCATTCTGTTTGCATTATAGGGCTGTTTTCCTTTTCTTAATTCATTGTCTAGGGCTGTTTTCCTTTTCTGTTTTCATATATTACATTATAGGGCTGTCTTCCTTTAACATTAACATTAACATTAACATTATAGAGCTATTTTCCTTTTCTATCAGATTATATGGTTTCCACATATTACATGGTTCCTTCATGAACTATGGTGCAAACACAAACTTGGTTCTCTTCAGCCATTAACTTTGGCTCTCTTCAAAGCAAATATGTGAGACTCATCTGAGAGTATGTGAATTGCCAAATTTATAGATAATCAAATGTTATTGATTGTTTCTTAGGTCCTTGCATGCATTATATGGTTTCCACATATTACATGGTTCCTTCATGAACTATGTTATTGATTGTTTCCACCTATTTTGTATTTTTCTTTTTTCTCAAATGTCTAAAATTGGCAGTTTAACATTGCAATCCACTACAAATGATATAGTGGATGTCCAAGTGGTGCTTTTTTTTTTTAATTTTTTTTAAAGACAAATTTATAAATTATTGTGATGGTGTCTAATTAGATGATTTTATAAAAATTATGTATTTTGGTTTTTTGTGGTATGAAAGGTGAATTTATCTATACTAAGTGAAGGCAGGACTTGGTATCCAAGCCTTCTATTTATGCCACATGTCTCTCATTTTTCTATTTTGAAAAAATAAAAATTAGATAAGTGAGGGATGAGACTTGAACCTCTTTTTATTTTTGAAGGTGAGTATACTATATCACAATGAAGTTGAGTACACTACACAAAGACTCACACTCTTGCGTTCTATTTAAATACTTCAAAATGTTTTAGAAAGAAGAGAATAAATTATAGAAATATTATTAGTATGGTTTAGTGACTTTTAGACTTATTTGAGGAGATCAAGAACTAGATTAAAATAAATGAATGTTTGTCCAATAAAATTCAAAATTACCAGAATGCTTTGGAGTCCTAGGGATTGCAATGTTAAAAAGCCACATGGGCCATAGTATACAAAGGGGTCTAAGGAACCGAAATATTGAAATTCTGTATTGTGTTTTTTTCTTTAATAATCAATGGGTTTCAACACCCACTTCTCTCTCTCTATCAAATGGGGGTTAAGGAAAAATGGATTTCAAATTAAGATTCATTTTTATTTCATCTTAGTTAAATGGGTTGAGACTCTGTACAATTATCAATAGTCATATTTTTACTCACCAAATATGGGTTGAAAAAATGACGGTTTGTCAGAATTTTTAAAATTTTATCAAATGTCTCAAAATACAAAATAAAATTCTGTATTGTGTTTTTTTCTTTAATAATCAATTGGGTTTCAACACTCACTTCTCTCTCTCTCTCTATAAAATTCTGTATTGGGTCTCAATTGGATTTCTATGAGAGTATTTAATTTTTCTTCTATCCTTTTTAATGTATATTGAAGACAAAAAAATTATAATTTTTCTTCTATCCTGTAGTAGGTCAATTTCTCCATCTGTGATATTCATGCACAAACGAACTTCTTAAACTAGGTTGTTAACTATAATATGTTAGGAGGTTGTTAACTTTGTAGCGACTAATTTTTCTTTATGGCAATTATTAAACCTCATTTTGCCTTCATATAGTTATCTTTGTCAAATTTACATAACCAGGCACTTTCAGGTTGAGACATCATTGACCTTCAACCGCTGATTATGGACAACATTACTATTTTTGGTCACGTAAGTTGTTTTCTTTTTTATTTATTTGAAAAAAAAATATTTTTCTTATAAGCAAAAGTAAATTTTCTTTTCTTTTCATAATTTTTTATCTAATTCCTTATAACAAAATGCACTTTTCTTATAATTTATAGATGGATGGAGACCTACGTCGAACTGCAATACTGGCTCCTTTTACTCATTTTCTTACATGTATAATTTTTTTATTTTTTTTTACGTCTAATTCTTTTGTATTTTTAGGTCCAATTTCTTCAAGAAAGAAATGTTAATATTGTTATCCGTGATGAGCGTGACCTTAATGTCATCCGTGTTCGAGAGGTAGGCCCAATTTAATTATATAGATATTTTTTATTCAAAACACCGTATACACCGTATATTCTTATTTATATATTTTTTAAAAACTTTCTACATATATATATTTTCTTTATTCATTAAAAATTTTCTTTATTTATTGTAGGCAAAAGAAAAGGAAATTGCCAAGGCATTGCTGAAGAAAAACGAAAAACCACCATTTCGGCCAAGGGAAAGGAAAATACATGTTCAGTAGTATGGCTCTTCAACATTTTCATTTAAAGTTCTTTTTTTGAAATATTTATTTTGGACCATGAACCTTGATTATTTATTTTTATTTTTTTAAATGTAAAATTGACATACTACTTGTACAGTGACATATACTGTTCTTATAGTAAACAGTTTCATATAAATTTGTGAAATATTTTTTTTGAAGCATGCTAAAATAGCATTTGTACAAAAACATTATATTTGTTTTAAATTATTATTATTGTTTTTGGCTTTTTGCTATTGACATTAACATCTACAAGAGAAGAAAAAAGGAATAGAACAAAAAAGGAATGAGGGGAGGAGGGATACAGAATGAAAAAGTTTTCAATTTTATTACAAAATATCATAAGGAAAGGGAATTAAGATAAAGTAAATTAATAGAAATGAAAAATAAAGAGAAAAGTATAAAATAGTAGATGATAATATTCATATTTTAGGCATCTTATGAAATTAATCTTCATGTTTTAGGCACATAACAATAATGTTATATCGAAAGCTGCATTTGCTCAACGTGCACGGCGAGAACGCGAAAGAAACGATAAGGCAAGCTCTTCATATCAATTGGGACAATGTTCACGACGTGAACGAGAGAGATCAAGAGAATTGATTCCACCAAGCACAACTAATACTCCACCGGCTCAGAAAGGAGTAATGTTTACATATTTTACGTCGCCAAGCACATCTTTAGATTCACAAAGGAATTGGTAAAACATTATATTTATTTCTACAAATACATATTCTTATTGTTAAGATTTTATTTTATAAATTTTATTTTGTACACAACAAATATTTGTAGGCCTACCCATGCAAGCCCATTCCTCCATGAGACTAGGAATATCGGTGTTGTTATTCGTGATGAGTGCAATCTTAATATTATCCGCAATTCTAAGGTAAGTATAAATATCAAGTTCAACATATTATTTTTTCGTAATCTTAATAAATTCTATAAATACATGTTCTTTTTCGTATTCTGAATAAATTTTATTTATTTTTGGTAGGCAAAGGAAAAGGAAAAGGGCAAAGTAATGTGTAAAGGAAAAGAAAAGGCAACTTCTTTGACAAAGGAAAGGAAAACACATGTCCAATGGTATATATTCAACACCTTTAAAAAAATATTTATCGAGTAAAACAAAGCCAATCATATTGTTTAAGTGAACATTGATCATGTATATTTTTAAAAATGTAAACTGTGTTGTCAATTTTTTTTGTGTGCTCTTTGTTTTCTGTACACTCAAACAAAGTATTTTTAGCTTTACATTTCCTAAAAATAATTGTAACATTTATCAACTCCAAGAAAAACTTTATAACATCCAAGCAAAGGAACAGAGGAACATAGGCATAGAAAATATTTTTAATTTTCTTAAAATCATCATGAGGCAAGAAGAAAGAGAAAACAATTATTAAAAAACAAATTTTTATATCACAAGGCATGAAGAGGGAAAATGAAGCAAAATGGAAAAGGAAGAAATGTAAAATATAAAAATATTCTTAAAATTATCACAAGGCAGAAAGAAAAAGAAATAAAATAGTATACGATAATATTTGTATTTTAGATATCAATGATGTAATGTTCACATTTTAGGCACACAATAACAATGTTATATCAAAAGCGACGTTGGCCCAACGTGCACGACGAGAACGGGAAAAATTAAGAGAATGTATTCAACCGAGACAAACTTCTTTAATACCGTGTCGTCGTAGTCGTGCTTGCTTGGAACTAGGAACAAAGGCAACTGAGGATACTCAGTCGATGCAAAAACGAACAATGGTTGCACATCCTTCCACATGTTCGTTCTCAATGCCAAGCACATCTTTAGCTCCACAAAGGAATTGGTAAAAGACTGTGTTTAATTCTTCAAATATATACTCTTACTATTACCATTCTATTTTAATTTACAACCTACCAATATTTGTAGGCCTACTCTTACAACTCCTTCCCTTCAAGAGGATCTATGTACTAATGAGGAATTAGAGGATATGCCTATGAGTCCAATGGTTGGTACTCGAGCACATATAAATTCATGTCGTCATTCTCTTGGCAAGATGGATGTATTATGTCCTTTCTGTTCAACATTACATTGGATGGATGAAAAATTAGTAAAATCATCTCTAAATCGTCCTCTATTCGGAACATGTTGTTCAAAAGGGAAGGTTAAGCTTCCTCTGCTTATTACACCCCCTTCACTTCTTCATGCATTATATGATGGGAATGATGATAAATCAAAATCGTTTCGACGTTATACTCGAGTGTACAATGCAACCAATGCTTTTACAAGTCTTGGTGCTACATTAGATCCAAGAGTACTTACTGGAAGAGGCCCTACATCATTCACTATCCATGGGGAATTGCGACATCGAACAGGATCACTACTACCACAATTAGGGCAAGATGCAGCTTATGCGCAATTGTACATTTATGACCCTGATTCAGCTTTAGAAGTTCGCAATCGTAGAAATCCTCAATTAAGAAGAGATGTTCTAAAAACTATTCAAGATAGTTTATTACAAGTTAATGCATTCGTTGATAAATTTCGCCAGGCTCATGCAATTTTGAATCAATTAGCCTTGACAGGACGAAATTTGCCTGCTCATCTCCACTACAGTTCATCAACAGATCGACGACGGTATAACCTACCAACTATAGATGAGATTGCAGTTGTAATATCAGGTGATGGAACCAAGGTTAGTGGAATGAGAGATGTTATCTTACATCTACATAGAAATAATGAGCTAATGCAAATCAATGAATGTCACCCAGCATATTTGCCATTACATTATGTTTTATTATTTCCACATGGTGAGCTTGGGTGGGAACCTGAGACGAAACTGTGGGATGTAGACGAAACTGTGGGATGTTGAACGTGATCGGCCTTCAACTGATCGGCTTACTCAAATGGATTTTTATAGTTATTGTTTGTTTGAACGGCCCACAGAGTATTCAACAATTTTGAGAGCTGGAAAATTGTTCCAAGAGTTTTTGGTTGATGCTTGGGTTGCAACTGAACAAAATAGGTTGACTTACTACAAGCTTAATCAAGGGAAGATCCGTGCTGAACTTTACCAAGATTTAATAGATATTGATCCAAATGACCTTCAACCCAATCAAATTGGTCAAAGGTTTGCTTTGCCATCTTCATTTCCTGGAGGTCCTAGACACATGTTTGAAATCTTTCAAGACTCAATGGCTATCACACGATACAACCAACATCCAGACATTTTTCTCACCATGACTGCAAATCCTAATTGGACAGAAATTACTTCGGCATTATTACCGCACCAAAAGCCTATTGATCGTCCTGATTTAATTGCCCGTGTTTTTGAGTTAAAGAGAAAGTGCTTGATGAAGGAGATAGAAACAAATCGAGTGTTTGGTAATAAAGTTGCGCATGTTTTTACAATTGAATTCTAAAAGCGAGGCCTTCCTCATATGCATGCACTTCTATTTCTTAAGGGTCTAGACAAAATTCGGACATGTGCTCAAGTAGACAAATTGGTTTGTGCAGAATTTTCAGATCCAAAAGATGAACCTATGCTTTTTGAAACTATCAAGTGTTGTATGGTACATGGACCATGTGGTGCCCGAAATCCACAAGCACCATGTATGGAAAATGGTAAATGCACTAAGAGATACCCTCGAGCGTTCGCAGAAACAACTACTATGGATCAAGATGGATATCCTATCTATCGTCGTCGCAATAATGGTCAAACTCATATTGTGAGGGGGAAAGAAGTTGATAACAGAGACATCGTACCATACAATGCATATCTTTCTAAACGTTTCAACTGTCATATAAATGTGGAAGTTTGTGCCGGAATGAGATGTGTCAAGTATATACACAAGTACATTTATAAGGGTTATGATCGTCCAACGATGGTGTTGGGATTGATAAATGAGATCCAACAATATCTCGATGCGAGCTATATTGGACCTCCATAAGCTGCTTGGCAAATATTTGGTTATCCATTGCATGCAGAGATACTAACAGTTGTACGCTTAGCACTTCATTTATCTGGAATGCACCGTGTTCTTTTTAATCCTGATGAATCATTAGAAGCAATTGTTTCTAGAGCTGGCCAACAAATGTCAACTCTTACTAGTTTTTTTGCATGTTGCGCTTCTATGGAAGATGAATGTCCATTCACTTACCAAGAATTTCCACAACATTTTGTTTGGCTTAATTCAGAAAAGAGTTGGAAACCAAGGCAGCAGGGCTATGCAATTGGTAGAATGTACTTTGCTAGCCCTAATTATGGTGAGAGATTTTATTTGCGTTTGCTATTAACTGTTGTCAAAGGACCAAAATCATTTCAATGTTTACGCACGGTCAACAATGTTTTGAATGATACATTTAAATCAGCATGTGTTGCAAGAGGACTTTTAGAAGATGATGAAGAATGGATATAATGCCTTAAAGAGGCTGCAGTTATGAAAACTGGTTATCAATTAAGGAGATTGTTTACTATTATTCTTACTCAGTGCTCTCCACTGCAACCATATGCGTTATGGAATCAATTTTCAATGCATATATGTGATGATCTTGCACATAAGATTCGAACATTGTTTGCCATTTCCGAACCAACTGAGGCTCAAATTGAAAACTATGGTCTATATCTTTTGAATAAAATGCTCCAAGAATCAGGAAAAAATTTAATTGACTTCCCACCAATGCCACAACCTTCTACAAATTGGAGTGCAATAGTTGGTAACAGGTTGATATTCGAACATCAACAACTGTATAATGAGGCACAACAGGCAGATGCAGAAATTATTATTGATCGCCTCAACAATGATCAATGAACAACTTATGATGCAATCACTTCCTCAGTCTTTGAAAATAAAGGAACTATTTTCTTTTTGAATGGAGGTGTCGGAACAGGGAAATCGTTTTTGTACAATGCGATTGCATTAAAATGTCGCAGCCTTGGCCATATTGTTATTATTGTGGCTTCATCTGGAATTGCATCATTGTTATTGGTAGGAGGTCGTACTGCTCATTCAAAATTTTCCATTCTGTTGGATGTATTGGAAAATTCAATTTGTAGATTTAGCAAGCAATCATTACAAGCTGAATTGTTTAGAGAAACAAAACTTATAATCTGGGATGAAGTTCCTATGCAGCATAGACATTGTGTTGAGGCAGTTGATCGCACACTTCGGGATACTTGTGATAGTGAAAAGCCATTTGGGGGTATCACTGTTGTTCTTGGTGGAGATTTTCGACAAATCTTACCAGTTATAACCAAAGGAGTCAGTGAGCAAATTGTGAATGCATCATTAAGACACTCTTTTCTATGAAAGGATATGCATGTTCTGTCTTTAAATTTGAACATGCGCTTGAATCATGCAAATCTTAAAAATGCTAATTTTGCAAAATTCTTGATGGAGGTAATATTTCTTCAAACTTTTTCTCTATTGTATGGTTCTTTTAAATTGACGAAATATATTTACGTTTATGTACTTTAATTGATTTTACTTACTATTTTATTTATTTATTTTTATAAATAGATTGGGACTAATCCTCAGGAAATTGTTAAACTTCCATCAACAATACACAAATGCCAAGATCTAAAAGACATAATCTCAGTAGTTTATCCGCAACTGGATGTGGCAATGACATCGACTGCAACATTTTTAACTGAATGTACAATTTTTTCTGCACGGAATGATGATGTCAGTGCTATCAATACTGCAGCATTGAATATTTTTCCCGGCAACACACATACTTATTTGGCAGCAGACAAGATGTCTGAAGATGGTGAAATTGATCGTATTATAATAAATAGATATCCTAATGAATATTTAAATTCATTAGATCCTCCTAGGCTATCGGCTTTTAAGGTAGAGTTGAAAGTGGGTTGTCTTATAATGTTGTTAAGAAATATTGCACCAAAAGATGGACTGTGTAATGGCACAAGATTGATGGTTTCTAAATGCAATACTCGCATAATTGAAGCTCAAATTTTAACTGGAGAAAAATGTGGCAATTTGGTATTCATACCAAGGATATCCTTGACACCGTCTTCTTCAGAAATGCCTTTCCGAATGACAAGACGTCAATTTCCAGTTCGATTGGCATATGCCCTGACCATTAATAAATCTCAAGGGCAATCTGTGAAATTTGTTGGAGTTGATTTGCGCACACCAATGTTTAGTCATGGACAATTGTATGTGGCCCTATCTAGATGAACATCCTTTGATCGTATAAGTGTCCTCCTTCCCAATGATGAGCCAGATTCTACTACAAACATTGTTTATCCTGAAATTTTGTTATAGTGTTACTTATGGATCAAACCACTTTTGTCAAAAGGTACAATTTATTTATTGATAAATTTGTTTCTATTGATTACAAATTGTTATTTTTAAAATATTTTACTATATGTGTCGACTTTTGTAGGATAGGGTTAAAAAATATATGGAGCTCAAAAATATAAATACAACTAGATTGCTTCGATGGGGATGTAACAAGGTAATTTCAATTTGAAAGTGTTTTGATATATATATAAATTTTCTTTTGCTAATATACTAACTTTTTTTATTTTCATAAATTAGTAGATTGTCGTGCATGCTCCTCACTGGGGATACATACAAGTTGATACGAGGACTTTTTGAAAAGTGATGAGGCGCTCCTAGGATTTCTAAGAAAGAACAAGTTTGAATCTCATATTTATTTTTGTGAAAAGCGTACATATGCTAGCTACGATCCATATTTTGTAAAGTTTCTAATCGATGTGAAATTTATTACTTACAATAGTTTTGTAAAGCCTTTTATCTATGTGAAATTTATAACTAAGTTTAGATGTATGTTAGATAATATTCATTTGAATTATTGATTTATGCTATGAGTTTACTTTTGTAAATGTAACACACTAGGTGATATATGTTTTTTTGTTTTTTCTTCCTAATATGCTCTTGAATTAGGTTAAACAAAACTAATCATATTTTTATTTGGTTATCTTTTTATCAGGAAGGGTGTTTCATTTTCTTTTTATTATAGAACATTGGCTGGTATACTTAATTTGTTATTTGGCATTTTTTTTGTATTGCAGAGCACTGGCTGGTGTACTTAATTTGTTATTTGGCATTTTTTTTGTATTGCAGAGCATTGGCTGGTGTGCTTAATTTGTTGTTTATTTTTTTCTATTGCATAACATTGGCTGGTGTATTTCGTCTAATTTTTATATAGATGTTTCTGTGTTGTGGGATTTACATTTTGTTGTTTGTTTAAAATCTTAAACTTTTGTTGTGCTTGAATTTTACGTAGTATTTATGTGTTTACTTTTCACTATTTCGTTTACCTATAAATTTGGAAAATTTATGTTCAAATTGATTTATTTAGCACGTAGCATACAGTTTATTTATTTTTCATTTATTTAATTTTCTGCACAATAAACTGACCACCAAACAATAAAAATTGGTAGATTTTAACCATTACATTAAAATTGATGCAAAACTATAGCTTTGAGATCTCTCTTTTTTACTTCAACCAAAACTCACTATCTAAAAAAATGTGGATATAGAAATTTATTTGGGTACTGTTATTGGCTAGGATAATAAAATGCTTATTTTCTATTACAAATTGCAAGTGGGTTACATAAACAAAAAATACTACACTAGTAAATATTTGGTGATATGATCGTTGTTTGCATTTGTGTCATCATACTACAATACTCCAAACTCTTTTCAAAAATCTAATTATAAAATTCATTTGAAAATTCAAAACCATACGGATCATCTATTTATATTTTCACCTCAAATTTTTTTTCCCAACAAATTAAATAAATTACATTTTAACTCAATAACTTTATATTCAATTATATTTTCATATATTAATGGTCATCGTGCCTTCAGGAACGGGCATACCCTAGTATATATATATATATATGTGTTTGTGTGGGGGGGGGGAGCTTAGCACTGTATATAAAGCCTAGTGCATGAATTTAATCCCAAGAAATAAATATGATTTCAGGATAGTATTTGATTTATGAAAATAAAATGATTATTCTATTAAAATATGCATTTTTATATTTAATTTATTAAAAAACATATTACAAAGAAAATGCCATTCATCATTAATATAAAAAGAAAAAATAAAAACTATCATTCTCACATAGAGGCAATTGATGACACTTGAATGGGGGAAATTGAAACAGTTTCACATTTCACATCCTTGATTTATTTAGTGATGAAATTGGTGTCCCACTGGGTGGGTGTAGTTGCATGAGTGCACTAAGATCACGTCGGCGGATTAGGTTAGATATGATTATTAGTGAGAGAATGATTAGTAAAAAGATTGTTAATATGTGAATTATTAGTGAGAAAAATTTAGTAAAAGTGTGTTTATTTTGATGATAGTGTGAGAGATGATTAGTGATGAGATTGTTAAATTATTTTTATATAAAATAAATATAGAAAAAATTATTTCTATATTAAAAAAACTTTTAAAAAAATATTAAAAAAAACGGGTGTACTTGATAATTATTTATTTATTTATATAAAATAGACTTAATCCATTCACTATTTTTCTAATCTTATCCAAAATCTAGCCAATTTAATCTCCTTCTTAAGGAGAATTATTAAGCCCCTCATACTATTAATCCCTCCTCCCCAATCATCACCAAACAAAATATAAATGAGATCCACACCAATACTAATCCAACGCACTCCTACCCCGCTAAACAAACATGGCCTAAGTGATAAGCTCATTTGACAAATTGACACCCCCACAAGATTGTCTGCCATGATACTAAGGGAGACCCTTTAAAAGTGGTCTGATGTCATTGCCATGTTCTCCCTCTCTCTCACATTCAATATTTCAACAACACATAAATTAAGAGCATGCATGCATGTGATAAAGTAAAGTAAAAGCCAATGGGATTTCTGTTTATGTTAGGTTTTGAGAGTGGTTGAAGCATTACCAAAAAGTGATACAAATTGTAGGTGGTGGGACGTTAATGGAGTTTATTATCACACCCGTGAAAACTGTTATAAAAATAACTGTCTAAAGCCATTGCATTCTTCAATTAATAAAGGTAGTGGATATACACTGTGTTACTAATACAAGATTAATAATGTTAAGATGACTAAATTTTTTATACTCTCAATTGAGAATGAGGCTTTTCTCTAATCTAGTAATTAGATTGAAGGGTCAGATTGATGGGTCTAATTAAGATGATTTAAATTGTTCAATTTTTAATATTATTTATATAAAAAATTAAATTAATCAAAAATCATTAACCACATGTTTGAATCACATTTTGTTTTATTAAAATAGGTGGTTTATTTTTTAAATTATGTTGTTTTGTTTTTAAAGAAAAATGTTACATACTAATATAGTTACAGATATCAGATAAATTTGATTTTTTGTATAAATGATCTACATGACAAACATTATATGTTGATTAATTTAGATTATCAAAGTGAACCTATTGTGCCGACGAAACCCTCAACTTGACCGTCCAATCCAATTATTGAATTGAAGGGATGTCTCTTACTTTTGTTTATTGTTGGTTAAATGTCATTCATGTATTCCATGGTCGAGTCTATTACACCAATATAATGATAGCACTCATGAAATAAATAGTAAATAACTTTAGTACAAAAATTTGGGATCAATATAGACATGCAATGCCATCAGATCAAATTAAGTATGCACTGTGTTACTAATTCAAGATTAGAACTAGATTTTTGTATTAAAATTTTGAGTTATGCTACACAAACAAACTTAGTTTGAAAATTGATTGTTTCCATCCTTTTTGTGGGTTCATTTCAAATGCCAATATTTTGTTATTGCATCTCAAGTCTATTTATTTACAAAAAAAAAAAAATGCATGAAAAAATTTTGGTTGTATAATAGTTTTGTAAATTTGCTTATCTCATTATAATATATTTGGCTTCATTTGATTATGGCTAAAAAATTAATTTATTAACTAAAAAAGTTTATTTTTACTAAAAAAAAATCTTAACTCATTTACTAAACTAATTTTCGGCAAAAGACAAATTTTCTTATGCTTGAAATTTATTAGAAAAATCCAAAAAGTTGGAAATGTACTAAACAAACTAACTTTTTTTAAAATTAATTTTTTTAAGCTTATATTTAGAAAAATTATTCTTATCTTGAAAATTTGTAAAAAAAAATAACCACGAATGAAAAAGTATAGTTGAGATTTAAGTGGTGTATCGTATGATCCACATATAGAATAAATCTAAGTCACACATTAATTTTTGATAAAAAAAATATGATGATGAGGTATTACTGTAATTTTAGTCCATAAATTAATTTTTTTTAACTAGCTCCCTAAAAAGCCTGGGAGATGAGCCTAATAAACTAATATATTGATAATATCATAAAGAAATTTGATACAGATATTTGGGGTTAATGTGCCAGTTTCATGCAGTTTATTATAAATTAAAAATTAATAATTAGAAAGTAGAAATCGAAATAAAGTACCCATCTCTTAGATTTTTTAACTTATTTTTTTAACTTCCAATTATTTCCCCTTATTTAAAAGCAAGTGTAGCCTCTTCGGGCCAAGTGTTGGTAGAGTCGCAGGTCATTCCTCATCCTGTCGGAGGTAACAAAACAGACAGATCTACCTTGTTATTTTTAGAAAAACCTTTCATCACATCACAAACTCTATCTATTTACACACACACACACACACATAAATCACTACTACTAGATAAACCTTCACTCTTCATCTCTTTTGCTTTTGATTAGGTGCTTCTGAAATTGTTTGCACCAAAATTGTGGAAGCAATATTGTGTGATTGCCGGAGAGAATAAAGAGAAGAAAAAAAAAGAAAAAAAGATGGAGAATGAAGAGATAATCAGCAACAACAACAAGAAGCATATGATGATGATGAAAGTGGAGATTACATCAGAGAGTGAAAAGTCTGAAATGATCTCACCCACCACCACATCCACACCACCACCTCCACCACCATCAGGAGGAGGAGGGCTCTCTAGACAGGGAAGTATAGCAAAGAACTGCTGCTGCCTCTGCTCTCCGACAACCCATGCCGGTTCATTCCGGTGTCGGCTCCACCGGACTCCAACCCTTCAAAGGACCAAGAGCATGGACTCTTCTGCATCCCTCAAGGACTCACACTCACACTCCCAAGCCTAATACACACATACTATGGAAGAAATACAGTGGAGGAGGCTCTTAGTTTATCCTCCGTATAATCAAATTGTTTGTTGTTGTTGTTGCGGCTTAATTATATGTACTTATTTTGTAATTGCTTTGCTTGTTCAATATTTTGTTGGAAAATTTGAATTTGAATTTAAATTTACTCAAATAGTTGTGTCTCTTGAGATGGAATAGTGTGTCCTTTTGAAGAGTCACAACCTTTTTAAAAAGTTATGGAGGAATCTATAATTCCATCCCGCCCCCCCTTCAATTTGGATAGAGAATTGCTTTTTCTTCTTTACTTTGCATTTATTCTTCATATTTTTTTTAGTCTAATTTTCCTATAAAGAGAGTACTTGCACAGTGAAATTCGCTAAGCTTGCAATAGTAGTACTGTTGGTGCAAGACATTGATCGTTGTATCCTGGGAGATAGACGTCCATTGAATCTTAAGTATCAGTGGGAGGATGGATTTGTCTTAAAAAAAGAGTATCAAACACTCGACTCGATCAGGTTTTATCTATTTATATATTGTAAGTTTTGTTACGTTATTTTGTCAATTTATTTCAATTTTGGTTTTGCCCAAAAACTGTTTATATATTTTTAATTTATATTTTCTATATAATTTGGTACCATTTTTCTAACAATCTTAAGACAGACTTTGTGCCTATTTATGGTTTTTGGGAAAATATAATTAATTTATTGATTTTGCTGTGTGGCCTTTTGAAGAACGAATGTCAATTTATGACATTCCTAGTCAAATGATGCATTGGTTAGTTTTTCCATGATTAGTTTGATATGACTTGTAGATATATAGATATTTACATATATGTCTGTATATATAGTTCTGTCAGTTATTTAACCAACTTGGCGTTTCATTTGTTTGGTCATTGGTTTTCTTTTGATCTAATTATTATTATTGGTTCCATCCCAGATTCCCTGTAATGATCATGATAATTTTTTGCAACGGTTCCCCTGTTCAAAAACTTATTGATTTTGTATAACATTGGTAAAACATACATAAACCTCCTGGAGGTAAGGGTCGCCGTCCTCCCCATTGCATACGTATTGAAGGTCTCAAACCAATGCTTCTTCACAACCGTACCGTCCGGTGAAATGTTGTCGTCTTGGCACAACTTCGTGTCTACAGGAACTGGAGGGTATAGTCTCATTGCCTCCGAAATCGCTGCGTGGAGTTAATCCATTTCGTATAACTCGTCGAAACTGTATGTTTCGTTGTTTCGCATTTCGGATTCGTACCATTTCAAGTTCTTGGAGACACTGTATGTCCTCGTCTTCCATTTTCGATTTTTTGACGTGATCTGTCAAATTAGTTAGTGGATTCATATTAATTTCTAGTGTACTGTGTTTGGGATCATGATATTGAAGGGAACTAACATATATAGTATATATAGTTACCAAGCAACTGGATGATGCACAAAGGGTGTTTGATGAAATGCTTGATCGGAATACAATCACATGGACCTCTCTTATTCATGGGTATTCCCGGGTTCATGGTGTTAAATCGGTTACTAGAATAACTCTTCATTTGCATAAATCTCATGAAGAATTTAACGAGCACACTTGTTCGGTAATTTTGCGGGCGTGTGAGTCACCGGACAAAAGGATTTGTGGTGAATAGATTCATGGTTTTGCCATAAAAAGCGGTTTTGTGATAATGTTTTTGTTGGAACTTCTTTACACTACAAAAAAAAAAAAGTACTTTTGGCGACTAAATTTTCAGTCGTCAAAAGTCCATTTTTAGTCGTCGAAAGTCGAAATTTTACTTTCCGACAAAATTTTTTAGACGCCACATTTGTCGCGTATACGTGGTCGGCAGAGGTATTGGCGACCAAAACTTTTTTAGTCGTCAAAATACAGGTCTTTAGCGACCAAAGTTTTAGTCGCCAATAGTGTTTTACACTTTTGAAAATCATACATTTACCGACAAATAATTTAGTCGCCAAAACTCACGGAATCGCCGACTAAACCGTTTAGTCGCCAAAATAAAGACTTTTGGCGACTAATAATTTTAGTTGCCAAAGGTGTTTCCGTCGAAAAAAAAAAACCCACTTTTTTGCTTTTTCTAAGTTTCAAACCGTCAATCGTCCCACATTCCAAACCTTTATCAACACACTCCCTCTACTATGCCACTACAACATCACATGAATATATATGCAACATATATTATTTATATAGTATATTGACCAGTATTAATACAAAACAATATATATAAATATAATTATTTTTATTCAATAAAATTTATGTAAAAAATAAATTATTTACTAAAAAAAAATTTAAGCCACTTTTGGCGACTAAGTTAAATTTTTAGTCGCCAATTCTATAATTTTCGGCTACTAATTATTTTTTAGTCGCTAAAAAATTAAGTTCCGCCTAAAAATAAAGCAGTTTTGGCAACTAAACCTGCTTTTAGTCGCCAAAAACGTCCCCTTTTGGCTACTAAACTGAGTTTTAGTCGGCAGTTGACTGTTTTTAGCTACTAATTTTTTTTTTGTAGCCAAAAAGCTTCACTTTCAGCGACCAAACTGTTTTTAGCCGGCAAAACACCTATAATCGGCGACCAAACTGTTTTTTAGTCACCAAAACCATCACTTTTGGCTACTAAATTATTTTAGTCGCCAAAAAGCCTGACTTTTGGCTACTAACCCTTATGTTTGGCGACTAAACTCTTTTAGTCGGCAAAAGTGATCAATTTTGGCGACTAATTCTATTTTAGTCGCCAATTCTACTACTTTCAGCGACGAAAAATGCAGTTTTAGTCGCGAAATTTGCTTTTTATTGTAGTGTTAGCTTCTATGTATTCAAGAAGTGGCCACTTGGATGATGTAGAGAAATTGTTCAATGAGTTGACTTACAAGATGTTCGCTGTCTGAATTATGTTTAAAATTTAATTGAAAATTTATTTAAATTATCATGTTTAAATATTTTCAGTGATCCAGATTGCGTTGATAGTGCACGAATACTACTACCACAATCAAACAAAAGTTATTTACATTTTTTTCCCCTCATATTACTCCAAAAGGATTTCATTGCTGATGTCATTATCACAATCACAAATTAATTGAAAATTGATTGAGAAATCTCTTGTGCTGATTATTATTTTTTAATAATCAATTGAAAGTTATTTTTAAAGTAACTTTAAATTTTGTGAGATAGCATGTTTTCAATCTTTATTTTACTTGTGTGGTAGACTTGGTTTAACCATGAATCATGTTTTTAATGTTGGATTTTATCTTTTGAATTAAAAGAGATAATTCCATTTTTGTCCCAAATATTTTTGAATGAGTTATTTTTTGTGACAATGTCACTTGTCTGGAAATAAATCGTGTTGTTTGTGTTAATTTATGTATTATCACAAATGTGAGGGGAGAGATTAATGGAAAAATTATGATTATGATTGACTTGTTAATCTTGTCCATGTCTACATATGTTGTAGAGTTGACAATTAATAGCATTTTTTTTATTTTATATTTTATATGATATCATTAATATCAATTTGGTATGTAGTGTCTTATAATGGATGTCAATTATTTATCAAAGTGTTGATAAAAATGTGAACTTATGTGTTTTCGCATAAGAGGAATTCTAACTATTCTTTGGACTAATGACTAAAATTGGTGTGGTGATTGATCCGTAATGAAATATTATATGAGTTAAAATATTTCATGGGTAAAAGTCACTTTGGTAATTGTCGACGTAGTCACCAATACTAGATAAGACAAATAAGATGTACATGTATTATATAGTGATATTTATATTCCATGTTGAGATTGGAATTAAGGGTTGCAGTAAACAAAAATAAATTAATTATGGCTAAAGAAATGTTATTTGACAAAGTGTTGTGGCCATAACCGGTATTAGTCATTCCTTCTTTGTACTGCAAAAGCAAGTTATGAAGTCTAATTGTATTTTAGACAAATTAGTATAGTGATTATATTCATAAAGCAATTTACATCTTATTATTGAGTTCAAGCACACCAATTAATGTTATATTCTGATTTATCTCAAAATTGTGGGCGTGTATTTATTATACACTAGCAAGAGAAATTAAGTTTCCTTGAAATGCTTAAAATGTGAGGGTGCTTGGAGGATTTACCAAAGTAACAGTTCCAATTGGAGGTCCACAAAGAATCTCAATTCTTTTTATAAGACAAAGTTGGAGTAGAAGCAAATATGGTTTCATTAACTCCTAAATAACACCTCTATGTTTATTATTTAAATTTGAAAATAGGAGTGACATAGAGTAACGGTAAGTCTCGAAGTAATAAAAGACTTAATACCGTAAGACGTTTGCTTTCAGCTGTGCATATTGTCTAAGGAAAATATAGTGGATCCACGAACTACTCAATGATATATAACTGAGATGGTCAAACGGAAAAATAGCGGCCGTTAAACAAAAAGTTTGACCAGAGAGCAAATGAGGGAAAGTTCATCGATGGGAATGTGATTAAAGCCTATTACATCAGAGTCATCATAATGGTAACCCTATTTAGATGACTGGAGATCCCAAGAACTATGTTCAAAGGGACAACTAAGTTATGTGTGGCTCGCCAAAAATCACTAAAGGAGTCTAACTTTTATCCATTCCTATGATGAAGTGATATCTGCAACATGTGTTGTATGTAGGGAACTTAGGATACGCTATACTTTTAATGATCACTTATATCTTGAAAACCCTAGGCGAATATCTTTCAAGAGGAGTATTTAAGAGACTCAAAATAAGGATCACCTATATGAGTGTGAAGGGGCCGCTTCTATGAGAATTAATAAGGCAAAATTCTCTAAAGCACTCATGAAATACTAGGAGATGCCCAAGGCCAAAACGAGCACAAACGTGAGAACTAAACTGTGTCTGGAGATATTCTATGTGAATTCTATTGTCTTGGCTTATACAAATAGCTAAACAGTTCAAGGCATCACATCCACTGATTAGCTAGTAAGTCCGATAGGCTTTTACTAGGGAAGGTTTAAAGCCAAAAGCTACCTATCCTGATGCAGGGTATTTCCTTAATGTACCCTCTCTTTGTTTGCATGTTGTTACATGTCCTTTCTGTAAATTTCTTTCATGTAGGGGATTGTTAGAAAATTTGAATTTGAATTTAAATTTATTCCAATGATTGTGTCTCTTGAGATGGAATGGTGCGTCCTTTTGAAGGGTA